GTCACATTTATTAGGTATGCTGTCATTGTGTGACACTTTGCTGGTGGCATGCGGTCACGTTACAGCTCATCATTACATACATTGTTTTCTATGTTTCTGATGACATTTCCTTGAGACCTTGAATATGACTTGTTGTTGAAATGTGCTTCCAATTTATAACAACCTTCAGTTCTTTCAACTGAAACAGCACTGGATGCATTCTAAATGTGAATATATATATCAGCTGATGAAGGTTAATTGTGCTGAAAAGTTTTATTATCTCCACCATGTTGGTGCGGGGAAATCAAGGTAGAAAAGGCAATTTCCTAAAGGCTGCACAGTGAAGCCAAATTCACAATGGCACCTGAACAGATGCTTAACCATAAGCACAGGCTGAAGTCCTGCTGTAAATTAACCTGAACTTGGGGTCTACGTGACTTCCTAATGCGTATTATGAAAAAGCTAGATGTTACTGCTCAGAATATGTTTGCGTAAACCTGACGTTAGTAGCAGAGGAAAAAAGGGTTCGTGGACATCTCTCTCTGGAGTGATTCTGTTTGTGATTGGGTTTTTTTCCTCAACCTGCCCTTGGTTCTCTGCACACTTATGTTACAACACATGGAGTGGAAGCAGTGCAAATCAAGTGGGAAAAGAGGGTCCCCATATTTCACTGAATTCTTCTGCATTCTGCTTTAGCCTTCATTGCTGTGATGGATGTTCACTTTACTGAGTTGGCATGAGCATCCTTTTGGGGCCTGCTCTGCAACACATGACACTTCTCTGACATAGTAAAGGGGTAGAACATGCACCCTGGAAAGTTGCTTGTTTCCATTAACATCCTTGTTTTAAACAACTAGCAAAAATGTTTTACAATGGTAATTCTCATGGATTGAACTCTCTGGTTCTTTGCTTTTCACTGGTCACATTACTCAGTGCTTTTAAATTGGTTTTGAGGGGATTAAAACTCATCTCTGGCATTTGCAAATAGCAGCGTGTATATATACGGGGTGTTTAATAGTTATTCCAAACACGCAGGCAAGATTTTCTTAGCAATCTCTTTAGGTTTTAGATTTTGTTTAAAGTGGTCCCTTGCTCTAAGTCAGAAGCATTAATTTCTAGGTAACAGCCACAGATGTCCTTCAAACCTCCAGTAAGTGGTCTCATTAAGTACTTGAGTAAAATGAAGGGTATGCATCAGATGAAATGGCTGGGAATAAAGAGCTGTATTGTCTCTTGGACAGGAAACTGCCTGTGGTTTATATCCAAGAAAGACACAGAAGTTGTTACAATGCATGAGACGAGCCAGATGCTCCCCCAAAAAAAGGGAGGAGGGGGTCATTCTTCTTTTCCACTGCTCTAATAGTCGGAAGAGAATTGTTTTTCTTGGTTCAAGCCATGGTTACCTTGATAAATAAAGCCTCAATTTCAGAGCCTTAATGGACCTTCAGCATAGACATTTTAGGGCTAGGTATTTCCCTTAGACTTCTGTGTAGCTGACAGCTATAACATTTTTAGGCATAGTTTGTATGAGTGAGATTTGTGGCTGGACCTCTCTGATGGACTTAATTCAGGCTTTACCACTAATGCGTTAGTATTTCCATATCCCAATTAATCACATCAAAGCATAGTTCAATTTGAAGGAAGCACAACAATTATTTTTGTGTTACTTCTTCATTGTTTTCCAGGATTCTGTATCTTTGGTTTAGTACATGTTAAGAAATGCAATGCAGAGAATATCTCTCTTTCTGGATGTGCATCACTGGCAAGCTTAGTAAAAGTCACCACAGCTGGATGTAGCAATATTGTGTTAGTATTTCAAATGTCTGCATGCATCTACATACACTCGCCATACAGGATCCAGTGATACATTAGCAGTAGTTTGGAATATGTATGTGAATGGAACAGATGCTCACAAATTTTTCTCCTGCTAAGAATAAAAGAAGAAAGTCAGTTTCTGCATATATGAGGTAAAAGTTGTCCTGTGTGATATGTCAAATTTCCATGAAAAATTGAAACGGTTCACTCAGTCTAAGCTACCAAGCTGTTTAGGAGTAGGTCACAGCATGAATTAGGAAATGCACAAGGCGTCTGGTGATTTGGGGTTTTAATAGGATTTTTTTACATCAGTTGAATAGTTGCATTGGAATTAGACATCAAGCCCTGATTTTCCTGAGCTGTGACAAATAAGATGTGATTTCTACTTTATGATTAACAGCTCTTCTGACTCTGGTGCTGCAGTGACATGGAGTTCATCTTTTCATTGCTGTGGCATTCACAAGTGGGGCTTGGTAGTAATTGATTTCAGGTGCTGTTAGTTGTAGTACATAACCTAGGAGGTTTTTGAATCGGGTTCCTATTGTAAATCGTTCCTGAAAGATCTTCCTAATCTTATTAATATTGACTGATTCTTTGTATTAGGATTTCCCAGGGATTGGTGGAGTCTAAAGGATTAAAGGCCTCTGAGTCAAGGATGACCTAGATTCTGATAGATTTTATTATGCAAATCCTTACAATCAGAGGTCATTAATGGAAACATCTGAAGCTAATATGAGTTAATATATTTGAGTGCTCTCTGAAATTAATGAGTGTTTCTGTTCCAGGTGAGTACAGTACAGTTTACGTTTAAGTACTTCAAAACTGCTTTGATTTAGAAGTATACTCAAAAAGCGACGTAGGATCTTAAATGTCCAAATCCTTTTGTCTGCTGCTGAAAGTTGGGTTCTGGAGACACTTTTGAAAACAGGGTTTTCCTCTGAAGTCACAGTGAGGGATCAGAAACCTCTTCTGCCCTTTCTAACATGATAATTTCAAGAAAACAGCAGATTCGTAACAATTAAGCAAGTTCTCAATTTAGCTTTCATTTTTGTAAAGGAAATTCCTTTTTTTTTTTGTTAAGTGGAAAAATGAAATATGACAAAGAACATACAGAAATTAAAAAAACACTGGCTTTCCCAACTCAAAACAGAATGATGATTTATACGGATGGCCATTTTTCTCTTCTATATTTACAAAGTGCTCTGTTACTTGAAGATCTGATAAGCAGAGAAAGTAATATTCTCGAACAACCTGGTCCTCGCCAGTTAAACTCCAGCTGTCCCTGCTGTTTGAGTGGGTGCAGGGATCAGATCAAAACCAGGAAGATTGTGAATGTAATATAAAGGCATTAATGTATTTTCCTTTATGGTGGCTTCCCAAAGTTCAACACATGGACTTCAGGCCACAAATGAAAAAGCTCTCTATTTGGTTCTTTAAATATGTTTTCATTCTTTCATTTATTTCACAAGCCTGACTACTTAATTATATTTGTTTCTTTATTAATACTTGCCTTTTTGTATCATGCTTTTCTCCTGAGAATGTGAAAATATGTAAATAACCTGAGCAAAGACATTCCATTTTAGGCCAGTAGTAGGGTAGGCCATTATGATTATGCTATTTCTGAGTAAACAGAGGTGTTTAGCCAAAATGCTCATAACTGACAATCTAACTGAAAAATCTTCAAATTAAGCGTATGTTTTAAAACTTGTTTTCCTAAGTGGCTTATAGTCTGTCGAGCAAGGAGTTGGTAGTGGAGGTGGAGACAGAGCACAGGGAGCTGACCTGTCCCTCTTCTGCTGTCGTGAGCAGTGATGGGACAGGTTCCGATTTTGATTACTTTGGTTTAGAGTGAGGTGGTATCGTTGAAGTCAGTAGTGTGCCTATAGTGTAACATTCGGTGACTGGCCTTAGGTTCAGACCCTAACGGTGGGAAGCCTTGCCAGCTGGCACTTAAAACATGTCCCTCTCCTCCTCTCATTTTACGTGGATGCACGGAATTCTCAGTCTCGGAAGAAATCACGTAGGATGGGGATCCAGTGCGCCTCGTTCTGAACAGAAACGTTTTTACCAGCTCTTTTGCCACCCCTACACAACGTCTGTCGTCTGCTTCATGCGTACCTCTAGCTCCCTTTGAGGCAAATTGCTTTGCAGCTCCCTGGAACGACAGGCAGAAGTGCAGCCCCGCTGCTGCCAGCACCGTGTCCTTTGACATTTCCCAGGGCAGCGATGCAACGTGTTATTTCCTGCTCCTGTACTTCTCTGCTACCTTGCAGAATATACCAGCAGAATGTGGGTTAATGGGGCAGGCATGGCACAGAGAACAGTCTCTCTGGTGGAGTCATTAGGATTTGCTGGCGGATCGCCAGCTCAGTTGGTGCAATTTTACACTCACTTTTCAGAGCAAGCTTAAAGGGGAAACCTCCGTTCACTTTAAGCCTTTACAGCCAACGAGAGCCTGCTGGGGCTTGCCTGCCACTGTCCACATCTCTGATGAACAGCTGGCTGGAAATTCTCATCTGAGCACTTACTCAAATGATTTGTTGTTGTTATTGTTGTTTTGAAATTGGTAGTCAGGACTATTTAATATTAACGGCTCTGCATGGAATTGATTGGTGATATTGCTGTCTCCTATGTTTGGATTTTCCCAAAGTTAAAAAGCAGAGTCTGAGGTGCGATTTGAGGAGAGGGGTAAGTGGCAGAAACCCACAAAAAACCCAAACCCTCCACAAAACCTTCTGCCTGGGAAAGGCATAGCTGAGCAGGCACAGCTAGACTCCAGCCAGTACCTTACATACATACCAAAGATTTTAGGTCTGTTCTGCAACAGGCTTCAGCTGCATGTGAAATTAATAGCAGCTGATAGCACACAGCTCCTGAAAGAGTTAGATTATCACAGCTGTAGGGCATTGTAATTTTGTTACTTGTGTAAAGAGTTAATCAGAATAATATAATTAGATCTTGTCATATAATAAACTGAAATGCAAATTGATTTTGGAAAGAATTAACTGATATTATATTTATTTTACTTTGTTGCTTAAAATGGAATTGTATCAACCAGAATCAATAACCAATGTATCTTTGTGTTTTTAGAAACTTTTCATGTGAAACATGCAGTCCTAGTTAATGCTTACTGATCTGGAATTAGAGAGCAAAAGGGTTAAATCTCAATCCCTCTCTGATTTATATTTCCCTCCCCTCCTTCCCAGCTGTGGACATGGATGGAAGATCTGCAGAAGGAGCTTTTAGAGGATGTCTGTGCTGACTCTGTGGATGCGGTTCAGGAGCTTATCAAGCAGTTTCAGCAGCAACAAACAGCCACCTTGGATGCTACTCTCAATGTTATTAAAGAAGGGGAAGATTTAATCCAGCAGCTCAGGTAAGCATCCATCTGGAGGACAGGTGTTGAGAAATATGATGTATGCTGTGGTTTAGGTGTGCATAAATAAGGAAATGTAAATTAGGATTAATTGGGAGAGTTTATTAATTCTTTGCTTATTTATGATTCTTCAAATTCTTTGAGTATTTTAATGAAATTGCAAAGAGTGATTTGTGTGGACTGGTTAGAGTAGTCTGTGTATCAGCATGAGTTCCTGTTTGACAGAAAGATTATTTATAGGCACAGTGAAGTGAATTGAAACAAATGTGTTTCAGGTGAATATTTTTAGTTGGTATTTATAGAAGATTGTTAAATGGTTGTAAGCTGAGGCCTCATGATTTATATGGTTACTCCTGATGTAGAAGTGTATTCCTCTTAATAAAATATACACGTGTCTAACAATCTTCACTCTTTCATTTTGCATGCAGCACCCTTCTATTTATCTTTGTCCATGTGGGGTTGATTCATACTGTCAAAGAGGGTCTTATACTGCCAGTTCTACTTGCTTTGTGTATTTAAACCAGCTCATTTTACCTGATTTAAAATACGTGAAGAGACTAACTCCAAGGAATTGGAGTTTTTTTGCTTTCTCAGTCTGTAAGTGTAATAGAATGAATGTTTGCAGAGTAAACTTACACGAAACTTGTTAGATGTCTCTCACTTGTTCTTGTTTAGAGGGGTTTTCTGTGGCTTTAACTTTGTTGACAGCAGTGGAGTTTTCCTGCCTTTTACTGATGTTACTAGGTCAAATATATCACTGATTGTTTAGATCTTTGTAATGTTACAGATTGCCCTTATCTACATGTACATAGCGTGTACATTCTGTATACATATATAATATGCAAATCTTCCAGGTCTTATGCATTTCACCAGAGACTGTCCCACAGAGTCATTATCCTCCTCACCCTGAGCTTTCTAATCTGATGCCTTCAGTTCTCACATAAGAAGTGCAGAAAACCATGAGCCACGATAGGAAAAACCTAAGGTGCTCTAGAGTAGAGTAGATAATGAAATGCCCTGATGGAGCTCTGCCCTTAAAAGCCCTCCTGGAGTCCCTGAGTCTTTTACTACAGCCGTGTGCTGAGCTTTCCTCTATACTTTTTCCTATCACCCTGGATGCAGAGTCTTCCCCACTGGGTTGGGGAGGGGTGGGGAGGAAGACTTGAAAGGGCTTCCTTAGGTTTTGATTGTCATTCACCCCTAGGCAGCCACACAGGAGAGCCTGTGTAAATTTCCAGTCTTGCTGTATGTGGCTTTCCTGCATCACAGGGGGAGAATGAGGGACCCAAGCTGTGGTATTGCTTGCTGAGATCAGAGCTGCAAAGGAAGGATCAGGAGTAGACATAGCTCCATCCATCCATCCATCCTTGCTGCTAAGTAGGAAGGAAACATGCTGTGTTTGGTGAGCTGCCAGAAGGAAGGGGTTTTAGCTAAGAATGTATGTATGGCCAGCCATAACAGGTCAGTCAAAGGTCTCCATCGTAATTTGCCTTTATGTAAAGAAACTTTTTGCAAAGTTTAGGGCATTTCTAGTGAAATTTCTGGACTAAAGATTTTTTTGTTTTTCATCCCACCTGTTGGCATAACGTCATTTCAGCATGAACACCCATGGAGAAGAGCCTGAAAGGGACCCTGTGTAAGCCCATCAGGTGGAGTGTGGGGAGTCCTGGTGCTGTCTGAGGGGCTGGCCTAAAGGCTTTTTGCCTGCACCTGAGTTAGCAGGAAAGCGGCATGAGGAGTTGGAGGGTGGCCAGGGCAATTTGGAGCTGAGAAGTCAGTGGAGCATCAATACACATAACAGTTATTGGAGAAAGGCTGGTGTAGTGGCTGCAAGGTCATGCAGAGGAAGAAGTGAACTGGGAGACGGCGTGAGGGACTTCAGCTTATTTTAATGTAAACTTAGTCAACTCTTAGTTTCAGTCTTTGAAAAGTAAGAGTAGCCACAGGTTTGAGACTTTTTTTGGAATTAGTGTCATGCCTAGACAGGGTTTGTGGCAACTGTATTTAGCGAAGAAACGTTTTTTGGGGGGTCTGGTTTGTATTCTGGGCAGTGAGCAAGGTGGAACAGGGTGAACATATTTCTGCAAAGTGATCACATCGTTCTGATATCGTTAAGACCAAGTACAGAGAGAACAGTTGAATGAAGAACAGAAGCCCTGAACACACACAAAGATTTGTAGAGCTGAACTGTCAAGACAATCTCCGATTCAAGTGTTGGTTTTGAGTGCTGTGACTAACTGCAAAGCCTGTAATGCGATCCTGGACTCTTTCAAAAAGATTTTCAAAAAGTAAAGCAGAACGGTGTAAGAAAAACATGAAACCACCTTTGTGTGTGCCCACTCTTAACAGCTTTTATGCCTGCTGGCAAAAGTAAAGAACATATAGATAAAGAAAAGGAGGAAAAATTAGAATTGCTGCAGTCTTTCCTTAACACAGCATTGCATTTCACAGTGTGGATCACCTTGTGCCTGCGTGAAGAATAGTTGAAGATTGCAAACACTACAACAACGGAGAGAATGAAGTACACTGCTCTTATCAAGCATGTCATAGCACAGGTTAAAACCAATAAAATTAATGGTGCTTTGAAAAATTTTACTTTTCTTGTCCTTATCTCTGAAAGAACAGATACTGGTTTAGAGGAGATCATTTGTGTAACAGCACTCTGTGTCTCCTCCAGATAGCTTAGGAAAAGCTCAGCTGCTTGTACTAGTTAAATACAATGCCTGGGACTGCTCTTCACAGAAGGTCTTCAGTAGCTCTGTGTCAGGAGACCATACCTATCAGGAATAAACCAGGCCTGGCTAGCAACACTGTATGTGTCATGGTTAGCATCGGAAACACTTTTTTCACTCTTCCTTATCAATGTTTTACTGAGATGATCATTGTTCTCAGCAGCCAACACAAAGCCGATCTTTTGAACTGCGTTTCTAGAAGTGTTGCTGGGGGCAATAGTTCTGCGTATCTTGAAAGGCAAAACAATGACTTGCTCCAGTGAGATGTGAAAGAACAGGAATATTAGGGGCAAAAAAAAGACAGTGAAGACTTACGTATCTTGCCTTCTTTACAGGAGTTCAGCATATGAGCTTTTGATAATGAGTATGTTTCTCTAAGCTTTCTCCCAGTTAAAGCACCGAAAGTGGTTTCAGGAGCACAACGTTCATTCTGAACAAACTCAACAGCAATGCATTAAGCCCAATTTTATGTTCCCCAAAGTTTATTTTGGTTTTTTTTCCCCAATAATTTCCCTGCATTTTATGACTCCAATTGTACACTTTGAGAGACTAGTAAGGATCTTTTACAAATTCTTTCCCAGAATTTCTCATCACCAAACAGAGCAAGAAATCTTGTGGTGGAAGCATCCAATCTCAGAAATTTCTTTTTCTGGACGGAGATCTTTCTCAAAGCAGACTATATAGGGATTGTCAAGGCCTTATCTGAGGAGACTGTGAAAAAATATCAGATTATTACACTTGCATTTCAGTAGCTGATGCAATACAAAAATTTAAGTGTGGCTTGATTTGAAGAGTGAAATGTTTAATGAAAAAGAATTTCTAAAACCAAGTGTGTCTTTAGATCCCATGAGAGATTATTCAACACCATTCTTGAATAATTCATTGAGTCATTTAGATAATATATGAATAGTAATAATCCTGCATTTGGATGAAGACATATTTCATGTCCTTTCATAGAAGGCAGGTGCTGACTGAAGGAAACAGAACTTGATTGAATGTGGCCTCGGATTAAGCTGTAGTTTCAAAATATCACCTTGTTATCTTCATTCATCCTTCCTCTGAACAGCCCTAATGTGGAGGCAGAAGGAGACCTTGTGGTCACCAAGAAGGTGAAAACACAAGACTGACAAGAGTGGGGCAGAAACCATATCACCTGGAGAGAGTAATGCTGGTGTAATATTCCCTTATAAACAAGGGAATTTGGTAGTTACTCACTTCAAAATAATGCTGGAGCATCTGAAGTTCAGTGTATCAGACATAGAGTATTTGAGGAAGAAGAGGTGAAATACATCCAAAGAGCAAACTACTGTGCAGTTAATAGTATTCTGTATTATTAATTGTATTCTTAGGCTTCAGATGTTCAGGCAAATGCTTGTTCTGTTCCTTCAAGACACACAACGAAAGCAGAATAACGTGTGTTTTGTTGCCTTAGAACCTCAAAGGTGTGTATTAAACTTACATAAAATGACTCTGTGTGTCCGTGCCTAGTTTCACTTTAAGGCATCTGTAAAAGGTTATACTTTTTTTCCCCTCAATTATGTTCAATTAGCATTTAAGTTGACTGTATGTTGTTTTGATCTGACCCTACGTGATGATAATATGAAAAGAGCAAAGCACAAGCATTTCATTTCAGTCAAGTTCTGTAGAAAACTACAAATGCTTTGCTAGATGTTTATGGAGGCAAAATTCAACGCAGAAAAGGGAAATAAAAAGCTAAATACCCAGCACTCTTCCACAGTGAGGAGACTCTGTGTGCACCTCTACTGAGCAGCCCAAGCTAGGTGGCCAGAAGAATGGTTCCCAGCCACATTTGGTCCCTGTGGGGCAATGTGGTGACCTGGCAGCATTACCTGACTTTTCGCTTGTCTTCCAATACTGTCAGCCGGTTTGCTGCACACATGGGAGTTTGTTGGTGCACCTACAGTCCAGTACATGCTGTTGGATTTGTAATCTCCCCCCCACCTTCTGCAAGGCAGAGCTAAACATTGATAGGAAGTACTGATGATAAGACCTGCTGGCTTACCCACTTCATCCTGTTATCCAACCAGTGCGCAGGTCTTTCCAACATTGTATTTGAGAGGGTTTTCAGTTGGCTTGGTTTAAGTATGCCGAATAATGCAGCTGTTATCACATGCCTTTGAGTGGGATGGACAGAGAAAACCATTGCATCTAAATCTTGTTTTAGCTGAAGTACCAAAGCCAAAATTAAATTATGGCTTCAGTTTCCTTTCTGGTTCTTGTTAAAGTTGGGGGACTTTTTGTGGCACATTCGAGGATAAATTTCAGCTCTTTATGTCTGCGAAGGCTCTTTATCCATAAAACACTCACTGAAAAAAATTTACTGAGGGCATAACAGACTGTAGGTGAGCCTATTAATATATGTGAGAACACACATAGAAAAGAAACTGTCAGGACTGTCCTATGTCCATGCTAAGACTTCTTTCTAGTACAGCAAACTTCCGATTGGTACTAGCCCACCAGTCAAAGGGTGGGCTCCCTTCTGCTGCTGTATATGGAAGATGTAGATGGAGCAGCATCTGACCTGTCACAGGCATGTCTCATTTCATTTACCTTACTGAAAAGACAAGTCAGAGTCTGCCTTACAGTGTTTGAAAGGTGTTTTCCTTCGGTGGATTTTTTTGCACTGTATTCTGCATCTATTAGTGCACTACATAATCTAGAGGAAATCAAGGCATCCCTACTCCTTGGTCTAAAATGTTGGTAATTCTGATGCAGTTAGTCTGTAATTAATAAAGCAAATGCACAAAATTAACTTGTAAAGGTCCAGGTGGCTAAATAGCATCTCTGAGCTTGGTGTGAGTGTAGGCTGGAGCAGGTCACTTTGTAGGATTAAAGGGGATTGCCAGTCAGTCTCCCCAAGAGAGCCCTTGAGATTGATGTGGCATTCTTCTCCCCTCCCTCTTGCAACTGTGTAAGGTCACACACAGTCTCACGGCACAAGAAAGGATGATCCCCTTGTTCAAACTTTGTGCCGAGCTCAGGAGCTGCAGGATTTCAGCGAGTAGAAGAGATGAGAGTTGCATACGCCTTCTGTCAGCCCTTTGTGCTTGGGTTTGCTTCTCAGCAGCATGCAGAATCACAAATATGTAGTTCTTGCTCTTTTGCCTGCCTTAAAGCTCAGTTTTAACCATGCTCTTTGCCTTGCTACAGGGACTCCGCCGTTTCCAACAATAAGACTCCACACAATAGCTCCATCAGCCACATTGAATCTGTCCTTCAGCAGCTCGACGAGGCCCAGGTACAGATGGAAGAGCTCTTCCATGAGAGGAAGATTAAGCTAGACATTTTCCTTCAGCTCCGGATTTTTGAGCAGTACACCATTGAGGTAAGAACTGGCTGCATGACCTGAGAAAGGTAGAACTGTGGGAGAGGGAGTATATGTAAACATACATATACTCAAGGATGCACCTCGAGCTGTTTGGTTGTGCTCAGCTGTCCGGTGAGGAAGAGTTTTACAACCAGGTTTTAAATTCGGCATGTTGAAGCTAAAGAATGCTTTAGGATATCCTGCTAGAATGCACTGAAATAGATTCGTGTCTGCTTAAGTGAGTATGCTGAGAACCTCTCTGCTTTGCCAAGAAGCTTTATAAGATGCCCGTGTTATAAGTCTTTGTTGACACTAGTCACTCAGGGATTTGAACGTTCTCTGTCACTTATTAGTGAGGTTTGTCTCTTCAGATACAAACATAGATGCATACAAACAGATACATGCTTGACTTTAAACCAGTGAATGAAAAAATGTGTTATGCGTGAAAGGAAAGGACGTTTAAAAGATGGGTTTTTAAGCATCAGAGTCGATTTATTTAAAAAAGAAAGAAAAAAAAAAAGAGGGAAAGTTAAAGTATATTTTTATGTCCTGGTGCAAAAAAGATCTTTCAGTTTTGTTTTGTACTTGTGTTTTGAAATCAAAAGCACTGGATGAAAAATTCTTCAAAACATTAATAATTGAGGTATTCTTGAACAGAGAAACTTTAAAGAGACTCCAGGCAATCTCATGAATTACTTGCTGTAATTCTGATAGGACGTGATGCAAAAAGAACAACAGGTAAATTTTGTGCACAAACTCCATGAAAGCCATGTGTCAGCGCGTATGTCCCTTCTGGACTGTGTTCCTCCTACTGTATGCCACTGGTGCTTGTTCGGTTCATGGAGCATCTTTAAGTGTTTTATGATGATATATTCCTGAAAATATTGTTTCTAAATGTGTAGGTAATCTCAAGGTGGGTACTGTTAATTAATGGGAGCCTTAGAATGCTGTGTTTATACTTTGTGTTTATTTTAAGACATGGCATGATGAATTATACTGGAATAAAAGGCTGGAAACAGAGGGGTTTAGGTTTCTTGATCTGTAATTGGATGCCAGAGATAGAAATCAGGAGTATCTGAGCTTTCCTGTTGTAACTGCATAGTTAGGTATTGTACTGAAGTCTATTCAACAATGCTTGTTATTTATGTAAATTAGAATAGTTTCATTTTACTTACCAGTTATATACAGCCTCCTTGATATTGAGAGACAGTGTTCTTTGTGAGTATGTGTGTATAAGTATAAATGTATGTATTCCATGTCAAATAAGATACTTTGCCTTAAGAATGCTACATTCAAAATTCAGGAGCCTGCAGTAACTGTAGTATCTCTTATGTTTAAACAGAAGATATTTTGATACAATGGTGTGGCAAATGTTGAATAATTGAGACTTTTACTCTAAAGATACAAACGGGGTGTGAATGCATATACTTGTACATACCTATAAATGGCACCTGTGTTTTCAAAAATTAAGCAAAAAAATAAAACCCAGTATGTGCTTCTGAAACACCCAAATGTGTATGTAGGCAGTATATGGTGAACCCATGTGAGCCGTTCATTAACATCTCAGCCTGTTTCACTGCAAATATACATCTGAACCTAGAATTATGCTGATTTAAGTAAAGATCTAAGAAGAAACAAAAAAACCCCCACTGTTTTCAAATTCTTTTTCTTTGTACATAGTCTTTCAATCAAAGATCTCAAAGGCTGCTGCCACCATGGATTGCTTTACTGATGGGGCAATCGAGGCATAAGGAGATGATGTGACTTATCCTAGTCCCCTCCATCTGTGGTGCCAGAGATGGGAGTACTGTGTGCATCCCTCTGTTTTGTTTCTGCATGAATCCTGCTCCTCTGTATTCAGACACATTTGGAGTGGCTGTGATACATTAAGATATTTAAAATTGGAAATGTGCTTCAGAGTCTTCTAAAATCAGATTAGCTAGAAAGGATTTTAAAGAAATCACCACTTAGTTGTCACTGTAGATTTGCTGGTTTTTTATCATAAGAACATCTGAATTCCCTCTGCAAGATTAATATTACAGGGAAATCTGAGAACACATTTCATAGGGAGTCTATGGGCAGATGATTTTATTTAGAAAGCTGTCTCTTTCTGCAAAATATTTTATTTTAGAATAATTATGACATTTAATTTATAACTAAACATGCAACAAAAAATATATCCAGGTCAGTATCTTAAATTTTATTTAGTGCTTAAACAAAAAACCCAGTTTGGTGGATAATAGAAAGGCAATTTGAAATATTAAATGACACGTGTATGCTATGCCATTTCAAACAACAGCTGAATTGACTCAAATTGACACAATAATGATCTTTAGAAGGTAGATTGTAGTCAGTTGCCTCAGCCGTATAATAAAGATTCCAAGTCAGTAGGAAACTCTTGTCAAAATTAACAAAATTCTCTCATGGCATTGTTGAGAAGCAAAAAGATTTTTTCATCACCATAATTAAAAAGCATGCGTATTTCTGATGGTTAACTATTCCAAGCTTTTAAGGGAAAAAGATTTTAAATCAGAAGAAATTTAAACCAGGAAATTAGTAGAGAAAATACTTAAAGACAAGTATCTTGAGTTATGATTAGAAATATATTTGGGTTCTAAATTTCCATAATAGCCTAGATCCTGCATAGATTAAGAAAGGTGAAATAATGTGTACCGGTATGATTGTCAAAAGAATTTCTCTATTTCTGGTCTGGTGAAGCCTCCTTGCATCTCTCCAAAGAGCAGTGCCATATTGAACACTTCCCTAATGAAACCCCTCTACCTGCTGCAGCCATGTTAATCTTCCTGCACTCGCACAAACCGTCTGCAAAAAGCGGGCCCTCCACCTCCCAAACATGAACACCTTTGTCCTCTTTGCTGCTTCTGTCTTGTCAAGCATCGAGTTTCCCATTTTTCCCCCTCAAGTCTGTGTTTTCACCCTTGGTTCTTGGGGTTTTGTGCTCTGGGGGAATTCTTTATGATGAGGACCCTTCCCTGGGAACTCTGGTGAGAGGAAAAACTTGCATCTCTCTAGTGGAAGCCAGAGGAATGTAGCTGTGGGAGCCCATCTGCTTCCAACAGCTTTAGGGAAGGCTGCACATTAGAGCCTCGTTCTCAGAGAATAGCTACATCTTGTGTTGTCTCTTTCTATCCAGTTTTGGTACCAAACATTTTTGATTCTGTTAATTTTCCCTACTATCCTCTCTCTCTCTCTCTCCTTTGTATTTAATGATGCAAACGAAGTATTAGGAGTTTTTCAAACTCATGAATGGCAACTGAGTGATTGGCCTTTAGTTTTATTTAGAAAGTGTCTGACTGTCATTTGTTCTTTGGAAACTTTCCTGCTTTTACTGTTTTCCAAAGACACTGAAATCCACGCCACAGACTGTGTAGCCCTGTCCTTTGGCGCTCCTTCCTTTACTTGCACTGTGCCCATCTGCTTTGTGGCACTCCTGGTTATCGAGCTTTTCTATAATCTTCTCTTCTTGACAGAGGTTTGGTGTCCAGACAAACTTCAGAATTAATGATTACTGCACAAGTAACACTTAATTCCATCTATTTAGACATCATTGGACCTTTTCTTGTACTTCAGTGAAATCTGCCAACTATTGTTAGATTTTGTCATCCGGAAAAGTATTTTACGTAAAGAGAAGCCACCTGCCTTTTTCTTTGGCAGGGCAGACCAGCTGCGTTCATTTAGGACTTCTAAGGACTTGTAAGCTGCACAGGCAGCTTTTGTGTTCTACTTGAGTCAAGGCAGGTTTGGCAGATATAAATTTGGATACGAACCCACAGGCACATAGTATGTGCTGCCTGTTCTTTCTTGCCTTAATCTCATTATATTGACTGATATTTACACTCTGGATTCTTGGGGTAAAGTATGAAATCCAAACTATGACAACACCTGGAAACAGGCATAACAGAAACATGAGAGAGTCTAGCTATCCCTATGGGAGGCTATTTTGCCTTAGGTTTTAAAACCATAAAATGACAACCTATTCTTTATTTAGGAAACGTTTTGATGCCTGATATGTTTTATTCCTTTACAAAGTCATTGCACATTTCAAGACAAGATGGAATCATTAGGATTATATGGTTGGGCTTTCAATATGATGCAGATTTCAACTGTGTTCGTGCAGCCAACCAAGTAACTCGGGAGATTTTGTGCAATGTGAATGTGGTAGCTGATCCGCTACAAGGAAATAGGGTGTAAAACTCAAGGGACAATAGCTGGCAGACAGAGGCAGTTCTGGCACCACACTGAGCACGTTGTACATATGAAGCACAGTCTTGTACCAGAGTTATATCCTCAGTAAAATCCATCAAGTATACTTTGTTCTTAGCTTCAGAAATAGTCATATAAAGGCTTATTAGCCATTGTTTGAATGAATACTAATATACAGTAAAATGGTGAGTAAATGCATAAGAAATTAATGGTAAAATGCACTGAGTTGCAACCCCTAACAAAATTACTGCCGTCGAGTCTTTCTGCATATTTTTTCTTTATATCTTTTGTAGAGAGATGATCAGATTCACCTGTAGGCCTCTATAAAACTCTGTGACTGGGAACAGGTATGGTATTGGCTAATACCTGTCTGGCAACAGTTGTTGGTTACCTCCAAAGAAACTTCCCTGTCCCTTTCCCAGAGCTGCCCAGCTCCTTCCCTTGCGTGTGTTGTTTTGTTTCCTGCGATGTGCGTGGATCTATGCAATGCTAGACAGAGCCTGTGCACTGTAGTCTTAGAGCAACGTGATTCCTAGGCCAAGACATAGTCCTGCAAGGAAGGGATTATGGGGGTTCCCACTGTACAATCTTGTATGCTGTTTGTTATCTTTCAAAAAGCCCCGTGATCACTAAAATCTTCACCTGCTAGATATCTAATTTTCCACCATTCAATCTCTTTGGCTCCATTTTACCTGCTAATTAATTTTTTCAGCCTTGATTTCACTTGCTGGCTTTCCTGGCTGTTCCCATCCATCCTTGAGCATGAGTTTGGAAAGGAACAGGAGCCAGCTTTC